TTGACCTTGCGTGACGTCATTTATGACGTCATCAAGGTCAAATTAGTTTTTCGTCAATAACTCGTGATCAAATTGAGCTAGCGAGTCGGGAAAGGCACCAATGGACTCAGGAAGGCCTGCCGAATCGAATGATATGCGACATGACCTCTTTCGACCAACTTCGTGACCTGGGGGTGCTGACCTGACCTTGACCTGAGGTCAACACCCCAAGTTGACCTGACCCGGACAAAAAGTATACCATTCGACGCGCCTGAGCGAGGCGAACACGATGCTGCCAAAATCGGCGCTCTGTGGCCGTTTTTTGCGAAGTTATTCACCAAAAACTGAACCGTACCCTGGGGCACTTGACCTGACCTCAGAGGTCACCGGTTGACCTAGGACCTTAAAATCGGGTACCAATCTCTGCGTCTCGTAACGGCGCACACGCTCGTTTTTTCCGCGACGCGCTAGCTCCACCAGGGGCGAAACGGCGAGGGGGGGGTCGTACCCGCCCCCCCCCCTCGGCCGGCGCGTATATAGAAAACCAATAGGTCCGGCGAGGGTTAAACCGGCCTTTGAGGCGCGCCCGGTATTACATCACGGCTGGGTGCCGCTCTGTGGGCCGGCAGACGCTCAAAGGCAGCGGCCGTCGCGCCCGACGCGGCCGCCTGTCGACGATTGTGACGCGCGGACTTTGTCGACGCGTCAGACGCCACCGGCGGAAAATGAGGCCAAATTAACGCCAGATTTATGGAGGTCACACATCGTCATTTGCACGCGCGATGGTTTGTTAACATCTGCAATCTACAAAGGCATTGGCGCTCTAATGTGTCCATTATTTGTTTGAAAAGGGATATCAAAAGAATTGTCGGAACGTTGACCTACCTCACAAAACATAAACTGCATATTTCCATCGCTTCTGCAAGAAAATCTGAAACAGCCGACGAGCAGAAGCATGCCCGCCCTGGCTCGGAATGAAACCTGGGAGGTAGACTGTACCGCAAGCCTCGGTAGTTCAGCGGTGCAGTATACCTACCCACTGCTTTGACGCACCGCGCTGCTACAGAAAGCTTGCGACGTGAGGTCTCTTGCTGGCCTTTACGGAGTCATTCTGTCTCCCTAATACAGCCAACATGTCTCGGAATGAACCCAAAATAGACATGAATCTGCCTTGAATATGACAGCTGACAGTCGTCACCGAGACTTCCAGAGCTAAAGTTCACCACTGCACATGGCCACCACCACGTTCGCTGAAGTGTCCGGTGCCAGCAATGACAATGCTTCTGGAACTCAGTGTAGCGTCTGCTTTGCAACAGTGTATTTTTTTATTGATAAATTTAAGTGCTGCTCAACACTATCCTAATATGGCATGACATAAAGATGAATTTAGTTGCAATCTGCAGCGAGCAGAATGGGATAATGTGAATTGAGTAGAGCACTCAAGGAACTACACATCTCCATGTAAGACTGCGGGAAGTGTCCACAAGGAAATGTGCGACAAAAAAAGTTATGAGAGCGGAAGATTCTTATAAGAAACATGAAGAGACCTTTGCACTACCAGTTTTATGGCACTTCAAATGACGCGCTAAAACAGAAGAGGCTTTTATTGATTGAAAGTAAGGCGTTTTAAATAATGGCTTTTGAAAGCACATGCAAGGGTAAATGGGACAATGCTATAATGTCCCACAACAATGCATCGTGGAGCTTGTAACAATGCATAGGTGTTGACTGTTGATAAAGAAGTATCGATAAGGGCTCATTTCATATACGATCACAACTCTTAAATATGTTTATTCTCTGTAACAAGAAATTCATAGACGTGCCACAAAGAAGGGCTCTGATGCGTACCACCCAGGCGCCGCTGAAAGTTTCTAAAGCCCAAACGATGAATGGGCGTCAGTCGGGTGACGTCATCCATTGTCTGAAGACTCGAGTCATTCTGACCCACAGTCCTTCCGTTGCAGACGTCAGTCAGCGTCCAGTGGCTATATTGGAGACGGGATGAAGCCGTTTCAGTTAGGCTGGAAGCCCTCATATTGGTGAGGAGTGGACCGGACGGTGGGGTTTGAAGTCGGTGGACAAAAGCTGGATAAGCTGACTATAGGAGCTATCGCTGCCAGCGCAAACAATCTGGGCAGAGCCTATGGCCGCCGAGGTCCATTTGGGAGCAGACGCCAACGCACGAAAACAGACGATGTTTTCTCTAAAAACCGGTCGATGATGATCGTGCCAACATTATATCTTCGGTGGGTAAAATGACGCCAAAGTCAATGAAACCTAATCTGACGCAGAATGCTTGCTGCTGGTGCTGATTTTACCTAGGTTTACAGGGAAATTTGAAGGTGGTTTGTAACTGTAATTCATTAAAAAAAGAACGGCGTTTTTTAATGTTACTTGACACTTTTGTCCTTATTTACCTACATGCCTTTACCGGTTACAAATTAGTGCAAGGTGGACAGAATGTAAATGCTAAAACAATCAGCAGAATGAAAATAAAATGGGTTACTCGTGGACCCAGAAAGGTGGGCTTGGACGATGCGGGCTATGGACATGAACAACAAGCTTCTCCGAAACAGTTTTCTATAAATCAAAAAAAAAAAAAAACTCCTTGGATTTCGTTTTCACGCGCACTGCTGTGCAGTTCAAAACAAATCGCTTTTTTTTTTGTTTAAAAAACGTGAAATTTGGTCAATTTCAGGTGCCGCGGGGATGGGATATTTGCCCCAAATGCCCCTCCTCCTGGATCCGCCAGTCCATTTTGTCATTATTTACGCTAGCAGTGGTACCCACCTTCCTGTCGAATGTCTATTGTAGGCATGCATTTAACCTGCTCATGACCTTTAAAACCAGACAGTCTTTCGGCTCCGATGCAAGCGTCCATCTGAGCACAGCACCACCCACGTACCGACGCGCCGATCCGGTCTTACCCAACATGCCATGCCTCTGTTGGTATCTATTGTCGTCCGGCTCAGCTGCGTGACGGAGCGTCCGGCTCAGCTGTGTGACGGAGCAGAGAGCGTCGTCGTCAGCCGTCGACCTTTGTCGCCGGGGGCACGGTGTTTGGGCGGCCTGCTGACCGGATTAGGTCCACTCCAGCCACTCGATGACTCTCTGGGGCCGACTTCAAGCCCGGGATGGCACCCGACGCTCTGAGACCAAACCGAGTGGCCTAAGACAAATTAAGAGCGCCGCGCGCCACCACCGCAGAATTGCCAGAAAGATTTATGAAGCTGGTCAAAGAGTCGCGACTCTCAACGGAGAGACATTGGGTGAGGTCATTTGATGGGCCGATCGAAATAGGTGAAGCGAGGTGATGAAAAGGGCTGCTGAGTGTCTATCAAGTGATGTCTATTGAACATCAGCATAACTCATCATTGAAATTAAACGAAACGACCTAAAAAAATGAGGCATAAGCAATAAACGTCCCGGCGAAGCTGGGACGAGTACTATCAGCCTTGTGCTTTGTACCACCGACCGTGCCGCCTCGCACCCCTGTGAGCGGCTATCTCCATCATGAAACGCTCCCCTGCCCGCCCTGCCTCTCCTTCCCTGTCTTGTGAGTTGTGAGCCGCCCGCCAGCCCGGTGAGTGGCTGGTTGCACGATTATGGAGAGATCAGTTGGCAACTGTTGCTGAGGTGAAAACTTTTTCATTGAATATTACATGAATAATTAAATACAATGTCTTCGGTTTTTAGAGCTTCTCACTTACGAAATGCAAGAGACGAGACCTTGTCACTGGTCAAGACTCTAAAACTGTAACGTCTTCCCTGCACATCAGAATATGAACTTTCATTTCCGACGGGCCAATAAACCAGACATGAGTAGAAATTTATCGCGTCGAATCAGTCCTCCACCGACGCCCCAGAGAATACCAACGGCCTCATCTGCTGTGGGGTCTAATCAGCGCAGAATCATTGTGGACGGCATGTTCGTGTTCTTCTTCTCGCGTGTTTTCGGATGACCGTGATAAAAGTAGAGCCTACGCACCTTCCAACGGATGTGAAACAGGAGTGGTTGCACATGGACACGTCACATTTTTCTTAGAAACATATCCACAGCGTCATCGCTGCGCCAGACCCACCTGTTCGAGCTGGCGTTCAAAGACCAGCAAAGGCCTGGTCGTCTCGATAAGAAAGTATTTTCCTCCTCCAGACTCCACTATGGGTTGTTTCACAAAGTACTTCTCTGTTTAGTCTGATCCTACACATCACAGAAGTGGCTTGTAATTTCATGATCCAATTTAGGTTCGCATTCAATTTAACCATGCTCCTGTTTTGATTCAACGTCACCCACTCAAAACCCACTCACCAGCAAGAGCGTATAGCTCACAACCTCCCAAGCACCCACCGAGCTCATCATCCGACCACCTATCAGAAGTCCTTGTTCCAGCGACCCGACGAACCGACCCGCACACTGCCTGTTTATGCAGAGTTGTCCGGACCGTCGGCGGCCGGCGACGGTTCCGGCGCGGCGCACTCGCGCGCCATAATTGGCGCCATCGCTCCGCATTAGGGTGTGTTGGTGGCGCGCGCCGCGCCGCTTCTGTCGCCGCTGCCGCTCGTAACGCTGCCCATACCCGGCGTGGCCGAGGCGCCGAAATTGAAACAGAGTTGTTTACGGTCGTCCTGGAGCCTGTGACCCAGCCGATGGGAGGGCAGGCCCCCCGGCGGGCTCGGTTGAGCTGCCGCTCGCGGCACGCGCCGGTGTCAATATTTGGTTACCTGTGTGTCCGGACGGCCAGACGATAAAGCGGCCAGCACTCAGCAGCTGCAGGGAAAGGCCAGGGTAGCTCGCTTGGGCTGCTTACTCTCCTTACAGACCATGATGGCAACATTGCAATTTATCGCGTAATTTTCGTTCAGAAAAAAGGAGAGGCAGCAAGTTTTTAAATTTCTACCTTTTCTAATATTTCAACCATGCAAGTGCCTTTCCCACACAAACATATGTCCACTCAGCCTACATCAACCAAGCTGGATTTCGCCCCGCTGACAAGCACACCCTTCCTTCCTCCTGTTTTCAGTCTGCGACAAGGTGTTCTCGCTAGGGGTGCACCTGATGCTGGGCTACGTCAACCCGGACGCCTTCGACACGCTGCACTCCTACGCCAACACGTTTCAGATGCCGTTCGTCGCTCCTTGGTTTCCACAGAAGGTCAGTGCCGCGCCTCTCCGTGCTGGAGGAGCCGTGACCGTGGCTCACTAAAAGGTCAGCAATCGAGCACATCAGGGCTTCCGATTCCTTAGACATGAAACGATCTTTCCGTGTCGAGCGGCTTAGATGTTTGCCGGGACATCGATGCCCTCTAAAAAGGTGAGGAAGTAATGTATGAAGTCATTACAATTGGTTTGACCAAATATATTCCAAAGGACGTTTTATTTGCTTTCTGTGTGGAAGTCTTGGTAGTTTGTTGATAAAGCGGCCGACTCACTATGCAGTCATGAACATGGATCGGGGAAGAAGGCCAGGGTAAGGTTGAGTGATATTGCAATGGGAATCATTTGCTTGAGGACACTGATCCTTAGGCAACCAGACTAACCACTTAATCATTCAGACTAAAATTACAGAAATAGATAATGCATAAAGAATAAATGACTCAAGGCACGTCATCCTCCATACGGACCACTTTTACCGCACATTTGGTTCCGCCACCAGCCTGCTCCTTTGCCTTCTTGGTTCGTTACCTTCCTATGGTCCTCTCCGGACAGCAGTGGTCAGTGGACACCTGTTGCTTGCTCCCCACCGTCACCACAGGCTAGGATTAGCCGCTCCCACCCTTCCTCCACCCCGCCCATCCAGCGTTGTTTTATGCGGCCACACCTACACGACTGCGTGTCTGGCTGCTCCCTGTGGGTATGTGATTTTCAGCCAGCAGGACGGCGGCTGAGACGGGCTGGGTTGGGCCGGGTCTCCCGGTCTGCGGTCTGGGGCCACCGAACGGCGCTGCTCGCCGCTCCGTGATGGATGGGCCGCCGGCGGCTTCAGTAGGCCACTCGGCCGCCCCCAGTGCCGGCTGGCGCGCGTCGATAGGACAAATGGTCCCGATTATCGGCCGCACAGCGCTCCCACTCTCAGTCGGCTAAAACGCCCGCTCTACCCCGGTTCAGAGTGGAGTCGAGCCGTGGCTTAAGACGGAATGGATGATTTAGGAGGGGCTTAATCTCCTGTACAAAGACCGTTCCGGGATAACAGTGGTATCGTGAGAGGTTAGACAAGGGTTAGAAATGGTCTTTGTAATTCTCAAGAGGATAATTAATTAGCTCTCGGTTATCTTTGTGAAAAAACTGAATGCATTGGACAACATAAGTACTACGATCCTGAGAGCAATGACTAAATAAATGTTTTATGTTACATCTGTGCAATTAAGACTGAACAGTAAACACTCATTGACCAATTTCAGATAGCTTTTACACGGAGCAATCCATGATTTTAGACTCAATATATTTCGCATAAAAAATGGTTATGACACTGAAATTAAATAAGCCTTCACCTTCACCAATTTTTCGCTATCATTTGGTTTGGGTTTGAGGACGCCTCGGCGACGATGGCCATTTGGCGTTATCGCTATCTTAAGGGAAAACAGATATTCTTACCATTTTGTCGTCAAATATTTATCTAACCGGAGTGACCCTGGTCGGGCAGGTGCGTCAGATGTCCACCTCATTGGACTATGCCCTGAGCATGCGGCCCGAGTACCACCAGGCAGTACTGGACATCATCAACCACTACCGATGGGATGACGTCATCTACCTGTACGACTCCGAGGACGGTGAGTGTGACGTCATCTATTTGTTCGATTTGGAGGACGATGAGAGTGACGTCATCTACCTGTACGACTCCGAGGACGGTGAGTGACGTCATATACCTGCACTGTATCTGTGCGACTCTGAGTCATAAGCCTATGTGACTCTGATGACGGTATAGATGACTCCACATGTTCGTTTATTGAAGGTTAGTTAGAGGCAAACATAGCCGCATACTTTATCTTTGGATTTCCCTATCTCTAAGTAATGCTAATGGAATCCTCTGTCTATGCATCTAGATACATATGTGCACATTCATTTACCTATATAGTCCTGCACACATGCTCGCATACTTGTTATGCAGGCTATCTGCCGATAGCACACACGCTTTTAGCCCGATAGGCTGGGAGTGTTTATTTCCCAAAAGTGGTCCCCGAAGGGCATTGCTGTGGTGCATTCATCTAAAGTCAAATCATTATCAGCAATATTCGGGCAATGCCATTACGGGAAAGCCTCTAGTCTAGATTAAAGGTAGCATTGATCTCACATTTACGTCGGTCTGAGTGCGGCCCGAATGCATTTCCCAGCGGGGCGGTGGCCGCGTTCACTCGCCAGCCGCGGCGGCCCAAGTTTATACAAGGCCGTTGGCTGTCGGTGAGTAGGCCGTATATGGGTGTTTGTTTACCGCGTGTGTGGCGCAGAGCGCGCGGCTCGCGGCAGTCTGGCCTACTGCCGCTGACGGGCCGCCGTATCTTCTCGGGGACTCTAGCAGACATTTTAAAAGGCCTTTTAGAACATCATAAAAACTCTCAAGTTGCGCCGCGCCCGTCTAAACATCGGCACCACTCGCCGCCTGATAAAATACACGTGAAAAAGAGGCGCCGCGATGGAACACGGAAAACTGGCCTCTGAAGACGCGCGGCTTTGAAGTGGCCTCGCTGGTTGGCTCGTATAGTGCATGTGCCTGCTATATTCAGTTAACTACACGCATATTGCCCTAAGTAGGACTCTTTCACCATAGGCGGCGGAACGGGGAGGGCACCAGAGCACCGTGCCCCCTTTGATTTTGGCATTTTAACATTAGCCCTATGGGCGTTGCATGGAAAGAATGGGACCAAAAGTCGGCAGTGCCCCCCCCCCCCTTAATTGAAGGTGTTCCGCCGCTACTGTTTTTCACACACAAAGTTTACGGAAGAATAAATCGAGCACCTAACTGAGCAGCGGCTGGCTCATAAAAATTCCCAACATTTATTTTTTAAAATGCCATGACTAAAACATGACAAATACTGTTTTGGCTATTGTAGTTTTGTTCTTGCCAATTGCCAATGCCAAATGCCAATGCTGATAAGCTAGTCTAACCTTTAGTGATCTCAGAGTGAACTCTAACTTAGTTTAACCGAAAAGAATAGAGTTACTGTTAAGGCCTGACTACACTATGCGTTTTCTGCGTGCGTTTTTTTTGCGAGTTTGCGTGATTTGTCTAATATCGTTCTAGAAGGAAACGACATAACGTTTTTGTTTTCATTTAAACTTTTAATTAGTATAAAAGTTTTATCAAATTTTATATAAATATTAAAGAAGCTATATTAGTAATAACTTCTTTTTTCTAGAACGAGATTACGCAAATCAAGCAAACTCGCAAAAACGCACGCAGAAAACGCATAGTGTAGCCAGGCCTTTATGGTTAATGATTTTTTCCCGCACCGCCCACTTTTCGTGAGGCCTTGAAACTAGGACATAACCCCACTCAGGCACCGCTCAGACAAGAAGCCAGAACTTTGAGCGGGGATGATAAAACGGTGAAATGTAAATCGGTTTCCTGTACGGTTTTCCGTTTTATTTGATTTATTCACCTTATAGTGCTGCGCAAGTGAAGACTGAAGGACCCCGATCAATTTGAATAAAACCAACGTCAACAAAAAGGGTCAAAAGGAAATATATTTCAAAATAAAAAGGGGCATAAGTAACGAAGTAAAGTGTTACCCAAGCTACTGTGAATACAGAAACTTGTGACACGTTTGCAAATTTCTGACATTTCGGCAGGTCTACATCGGCTCCAGCAGATGCTACAGTCCGTCACTCCTGGTAACGGGACGCTACGCGTTCGTCACGCCCACCGAATCTTCAAAGTCGAGGATGCCATCTCCTTCCTCAGACAGCTGGAGCTTCTCAACCGGTAGGGCGCCTACCCTCGACAGAGAGGCATTTTCCACGAACCACGTCACCGACAGTTACTCTAACTGTGAGTGTAGTCTGAGCCATATCTTTGTTTATGGCCATCAAACAGCCGTATCACTACAATTAACCCGACAGTGGGTGCTTTCATCCTGACGCCAGGGTATAGTGACGAAATTAATGGTGGACCATTTCATTCAATAAAGGCAGCACGAAGTTTAGACAACACTAGTCCCGTGCAGATGGTGCTGCAAATGTCATGCAGAACAATACAGCTTTGCGCTGTTCAGCACCGGGAGGCAAAATTGTATTACAAGTAACTGCTGACCGGACACATTCTGCTAACTGACTTGCTCCTGTAAACATGTGCTAGGTATCTTATTTTTACGTAAAAAAAATGTTAGCAAATAATTTTACTTGTCTGTGTTTTTATATTTTCCTCAGTTATAGGATATACCTACAGGGTGTCCACGTCAAAAGTGTACCCAGACTTTTCTCCGTATTTTATCTTAAAAACATCACACTCACAAACAATTGCCCTCGTTTGAGAGTCTAGGTAATGGCAAAACATTTGCTATGCTTTTCAACTGTGCTCGGCACTCTGCTAACCAGTGCGTGCCGTCTAGAGCAACTGCTCTATATGAGCTCCTTTGCTTCGGGCCACCGCCGGCAGACGGACCGTGACATGTGAAATCCCACAATGCCCCGTGCACTGGGGATCCCACCGCCTAGAAAAAGTTCAGACCATGCCTCTGCACAGCAAGAAAGTAATGATTTGGGTGGCAATGAGGCATGGAGGGGGCATTATCGGCCCCTTCTTTTTCGAAGACGACAGGGGAGAGACAAACACAACACCGTAACGCTAGAACGTTACATCTCGGCGGCACTGGAACCATTCTGGCGAGAGCTGAAGCGGAGACGCGGGATCCGTCGCCATCAAGAATGGTTTCAACAGGCCGGGGCGCCGCCTCACACCGCCAAACGGTCGCTGGAATTCCTGGAGGAGCACTTTCCTGACCGCCACATCAGCTTGAAAAGCGCGGTGGAATGGGCTCCCCACTCGCCCGACCTCAGCCCTCTATAGACTTCTTCTTGCGGGGCTTTCTCAAGGACTGTGTGTACGCCGGCAATCCAGGGTCGACCCAGGAGCTGAAAGACGCCATCAGCGACGAGATCCGTCGCCTTCCTTCCCACATGGTTGACCAGGCGATCACCCACCTCCAGATGGTCCGTCTGCCGGCGGTGGCCCGACGCAAAGGGGCTACTATAGAGCAGTTGCTCTAGACGGTACGCGCTGGTCACTAGCAGAGTGCCGAGCACAGTTGAAAAGCATAGCAAATGTTTTGCCATTGCCTTGGCTCTCAAACAAGGGCAATTGTTCACGAGTGTGATGTTTTTAAGATAAAATATGGAGAAAAGTCTGGGTACACTTTTGACGTGGACACTCGGTACAATAATAAATGAGCGTGCATTAAAAACAAAATATCATGCTGTAATGCGATAGGTACCAGTCTAGCTACATGACACCCATAGTGAACCGTTTACGTCGCACTGTTCAGCGTTGGTATTTCAGAACCGTCGAAGCCGCCCAACTACCCAAAACAGACTGTGTTAACCCGTCCACGGCAGACCGTTTCAGTTCGTCCGCAGAGGACGTTTTCAGTCCATACAGTCCATACAGTCCATACAGTCCATACAGTCCATACAGTTCATACAGTCCATACAGTCCATACAGTCCATACAGTCCACATGCAGTACCTACCCGTCAGTCCCCTTCCCCCTACGTAGTGGACTCTGCCACTCTGTCCATAGTACATATTTTCAGTCCGGACTGCGCCCACCCACTGTGGACATTTCCGAGCAGTCCACAGTGGTCAGTTTCAGTTCGTCCACAGTGGAGAGTTCCACCCCGTCTACAGCGGACCGTTTCAGTCCGTCCACAGTGGACCGCGTCTCGGCACTAGGCTTACCAAGCATCGATTGCTCTCCGGACTTCGACCACAGCCAGGGCCCCGGGGAAAGAGAACGTGAGGGATCAGGAAAGAGCAGAGATGGGACGCATGAAGGTGTATTTGTGAATGGATGGGTGAGAACGAAAGAAAGATTGGGGTCGGGAGAGAGAGAGAGAAAGAACGAGAGAAGGGAAAATGGGATATAGAGAGAGAGAGAGAGAGAGAGAGAGAGAGAGAGAGAGAGAGAGAGAGAGAGAGAGAGAGAGAGAGAGAGAGAGAGAGAAGAGAGAGAGAGGGAGGGAGGGAGGGAGAGAGAGAGAAAGAAAGAGAGCTCCGGGCAAATGTTGTCAAATGTCAACCGATGCCTATCTTACAGACTTTGTCCTTTGCCACCTTGATTTTCAGTCCGTCATCCCATCTGTTAGTCGATGATGACCGTCATTTTGGTTTCCAAGATGACCATTGACCACTGCTTCCTTCTCCCCCCCCCCTCTCCTCAGATGGTCGGTGAAGCGGGTCGTCCTGGACTGCAGTGCTCGTCTCGCCAAAGACGTGATCGTCGCTCACGTCAAGGACGTGCATCTCGGCCGACGCAACTTCCACTACCTTCTCAGCGGCCTGGTGGGTGCCCGTCCATTCAGCCCCCTCCGTCCAAAGTTGGCCAACCGATCTTGTTCACACCGTGTTTGATTCAGAACTGCAGGCGTCCAACAGGTGCTGGGCCGCTCGAGTGCAGCCCATTGACAAATCGTCCGATCGTCGTTCCCCCATTTCGTCGAATCGCGTTATCTATCGTTTCCATTCGCTCTAGCGCCACTCGCCGGCCGTCGCCCGGCGGCGGCTCGTCTCGTGGTGATGTGCGGCGCCAACTTTGTCGTGTCAGCATGAGTAAAGTGGCCAAGTTTCTCGGCTGGACGGCGGCAAACGAGCCGCGGAACGGCGGCCGGTGACCGATACTATCTGCCCCTCCACCACCAGGTGATGGACGAGGAGTGGGACAACAGCACTCCGGAATACGGCGCGCTCAATGTCACCGGCCTGCGCCTGGTCGACCCGCGCCGACCTCAGGTGCAGGCCATTCTGCAACGCTGGAGTGGCCAGGCCGGCATGGACCGACTCCTATCGGTGAGTTACGCCGCTGGCCGTCGGCGCTGGCGGCTACCTGGGGGAAAGGGGGCGCTGAGATTTGGTAACTTGACTGCAACTACGTTAGTTACCTGAACAAATAAAGAACACCGTGACTATGCTAGTATGTCTGTTGACAAAACGTTTTCAACGTAACGTTACGTTTTCGAAACCCAAGCATGACGAAACTCATGATAAATTTATTAGATAGGATAGGGTTCATTGTGGGAGCATCAAATGACCCTGCCGGTATACGAGTAAATGTCTACTGGCAGTGGCTTTAAGTCAAACCAGCGAAATATCGCAGTTCCCTCGACAAAGTGAGACCGCTCTCATTATATTTAGCCGCCTACCTGAGCTCGAGCCACCGCCTTAATCTTTCCTGCCAAGTTTGTCGAGGTCGAGGGTCAGAAGTTTCTGATCCAAGCAACAAGATGTGTGCTGATCCGAGACGAAGTGTTCAGATGAAAACTGTGTGGAATGGAAGCTCCCCTCAGTCAGCCTCACCAGAGTTTGTTCAAACGCACAAACACACGCGCGCGCACACAAGCAAAGGAGAAACACGAATACAGAAACAAACACATAGTGTTATTGCCAGCGTTGAATCGACTACTAACACAGTACACATACTAACCAAAACGCACTGTGAAACAAAGGCTGAAACGCACGTACACTGACACAAACGCACATGCATTCACAACATCTTCATCTTCACCGTAACCTCATCACACCATTCACCACTTTTCAATCGATAAGCCAGATCTTCACCACACCCACTGGAGAGCGCCTGACACGTCGCCAGCACCGCCGGACGTACCGGTCCGCTGCCGGGCCGGCGGCGGACGTACAAATGGGCCCTCAGGACAAATGATGCCCCGGGCGCGCGGCGAGCGGACACATCTCACTGACCGGCGCGTCCGCCGTCCTCCGGTCCCGCCCCCGCGCTGGACACGAAGATGAAGATGTCACCTCGCTCAGGAAGACGAAGGGGTGGGAGTCGGACAGGGGTGGTGCGCTCGGTTGTTTGTTGAAGGCGGCTGGCTTGACAGCGATAAGTATTTAGAGCTCTGAGGATGAACAGTGGACAGTGATGTATGGGTCTTCGGCAGGCGGAAGACGGAAGGAAGCGATGAAACTTCACGGCGTTCGTTTATCTGTAGTGCCACCCAGCAATGGCTGGATGCGCGAAAACTTCCCAGGTGGTTTTTGGTTGTACAAGATGTAGAAGCGGTTATGTAAATCGATCGCATTAGACGATGGCCATCTAAGGCTGAGGACTAAGGCGGTGCGTTCTATTGTCTCCTGCAGGCTCAGACCGCCCTCATGTACGACTCCGTACTCGTCATCACTGAGGCACTGCGCCAGCTGTGGCCCGAGCTGCTGCAGCTCCACCAGCGCCGGCTGAAGCTGCCGCAGCCGCCCGGCAGCCCCAGCGCCGCCAACGTCGTCGAGGGCCGCGTGTTCAACTGCTCGCAGGGCTTCTCTGACGTCACTGGATATGAGCACGGCGGGAAGATCATGAAACAGTTGCGCAAGGTGGGTCTGGGGGTGGGCTGTACTGCACTTGTAGTCGTTTTCTGGTGTAGGCACGATAATGGGTTATTGATTTTCGTTGATTGCTTAGTATAGTTTTCTGCTCAAACATTATGCATTACATACATCCCCACATAAATGATTTCATTTGTGTTTCCATGATTGGCTGTTCCAAGCTAGCCTCAGTGTTTGGCACTTCCATTGCAGATTGAAATCGAAGGTCTCACTGGTAACATCAGCTTCTCCCACGAGGGCAAGAGGAAAGACTATACTCTAGACGTGGTCGAGATGTCAGCCAACAGCCGCCCTGTCAAGGTACTGTTCATTCTGACTTGGGAACCGTAGTGTCTTTTATATAAGCCCACATGCAGTAAGGTACATACAGAGTACAGACATTACGTCTACATACGCTTTGACCAATCATGTTTTTGAAACTTCCCAGAAAACAGAACATAAATAAAAACGATCAAATATGGCACATTATCGTGTTAAGAATTTCAACTCCGTATAGATCGTCATCCACAAAAGCAAACAGCCGTTTTCCACAGTCGGCTGCCGCCTGCGGCCTTGGAAGGACATTACGTATTCGGCCCGGGTGCGGCCGCCAAGTTAATCCATATCTCAGAACACTTGAGCTTCTCGGAGGCCTGAGAATAACAGGCGCACTTCCAAGCAAGAACTTTGTTGACCCACAACACCAGTGTTCAATATGATATTACGCTTCTGCTGAATGCGCGAAAAAATGACACATATTTGTGTCTTTTACAAAAGGATATTTTAATGACATTGAAGACTTGAAGATGCATTGAATTAGAACCATAACCTTGCTTGCTTCCTAATATGTCAAATCACATACCCATTTGTTAAGTATGATGCTGCTAAATGTGTCAATGCGTAGCCACTGTCCACTTATCTGCTGAGTCAACTGTTGAGTAAGTCGTGAATCAGGCGTAAGGCTTTAACTAGATTATCGCAAAATGGTTACCAAATAAAGCGAATGCTCAGTAGCATTACGCTTATCTGTACGGTGAAAACGTATGAAATTGTTTCGTTAATTTGACGGCGTAATATTCGTAAGGACATAGTCGCCTGAACATCAATTTCAGTTTGAAAGCTCTTACTGAAGTCAATGCTCTCGTGGAAAGGTACCTAATCTGACAGACACAGGCGGCTGTCAACGCTCCAAGGGTCTCTGTGTGAATATTAAATGTAACAATACTCACTTACTGGGAAGTCGTCAAAGCCAAATGCTGGGTGCTACGGGGATATCACCCTGACACTGCCAATGTTTCTCGCTAACCAACAAAAATGATTATTGAAAACTCACACCTGTGACTGTCAGATACCTGAGAGTCAGCACCATCCGCGCACAATTTACTGATGGTCAGATCAGTAGCACTTGATAGAAACCTGTACTTAAACATTTCAGTACAAGGACGTCAAAAGCGGTATTTAAGCCTTAGGCTTCTACGCTTCTCTAATAAGTACTTTCCCTCCTCATCCACGGTTGACGCAGGAGAGCGGATCACTTCACCCACTTCTACTGCTGTGACAGGAACAAATGACATTCAGTCTTAACTTCTAACCATACCGGCTCTCTGTGTCCAGCGCCGGACAGTGCAATGACCTTTCCTCTGGCACACACAGCCAGCACATAGCTGCGCAAAAAGGAGCGCTAAAAACAGCAACAACGAGGCAGGCCGTGATCGGCGCCCGGCCGCTGTCTGTACACATTGGGGAGACGGTGACCGCCGGGGTTTGGGCACGGCCGGCTTTGCAGGGCGGCCGCTGAGAATAGCTGGGGTCGATCGATGATCTGTAGCGGGCGGCGGGAGAGCCGGCACGACAGCCTGTCAGAGGCCAGGTGACCCAAGTTGGCGGCGCGGCGCAACTTGGCCGGCCGCGAGACAGCCGCGGCCGCGCCGGAACCATCTGTTTAATGGACCTGCGATTGGCACATGCGGCAGATCGCTAATGGCTCGCCTCCTCAAGAGATAATAGCAGATTCGCGGTATGGATGCTTGAATAAATAAAGACGGATGCATTAAGGTGAATAATGAATCTTGGTAAACTGACAATGCCAGCGCGAGGGGCTCCTGAAGTAATCATGATAATGTGTATTGTGCCATCAAATTGTGCCTCTTTTTCTGGGTAAGCGCGCACGCTGGGTGGACCTCGGTATTACTCGTGCCTTTAGCTTGTGCAGGTCAAGGTCGTAAAATGATCGGTATGATCATCAGCCAGCTTTATGGTTGTGGGCTGCCCAGACAGTGCGAAGCCGGATCAGTTGGAACACAGATCTGTTCGCAGCTCCGTCAGAAGTCAAGAACTCTGATAGTCCTGCCGAATCCCGATTGAGCGCAATACCGATAGCTAGATCGGCTGCACGGAAATATAAAGGAACTCTGAAACAGAGGGAGTAGAGGAGACTTAAAAGGAGCTAGCTGAAGTCAGCATCTTTTCACATTTTGGGGAAAATATAATATATGATAAAATACATCATCAAATGTGGATACTTGACTGACGCTTACCTGAAACGATGATGAATGTCCGTCATTTGACATTCACGAAGGTCGCTGGGGGCTGATAGCAAAAAATTCCTTCTTGTTGTGCATGATTGATCAGTGATCATCCCTTCGCCATCGCTTACGTCCAACTTTTGAAGAAGATAGCAAACCATGTCCATTTCCGAATTCTTAAATTGCTACCAATGCGTGTCAACACATTACTTTATTCACATTCCAGGTCGGTGTGTGGTCGGACGTGTACGGTTTCAGCTCGACTCCAGTTCAACCGAAACAGGTGCAGCAGGGCATCAGAACGAAAAACAACACCATCATCATCACAACAATCGAGGTATGTCTATACGATTGGCCCTTATGTGTTTAACTAATAGGGTCAAATGTTTTTCTGGTATCTTATATTTATATCTACACCTTATGTGCATTTTTTATATCTACACCTTATGTGCATTTTTCGCACAAAAGGAGATTTTTGCACTTCATCGTCGACGACGATAAATATGAGTGTAAAATGAAACATCTCAAGAATTCTCGTAGTGATATTGGTTTTTAAATTCCCCAGACGACCAGAAACCTGTTTACATCCCCATATGCAAATCTAATCGGGTAAGTTAAATCTGCCGTCAAAGCAGCAATGGCGCAACAGAAGAAAACAGAATTATTGGGCCACAGGACTGGGCTGGCAGACATCAGCCAACACATGTTTTGATCCCGGCTGTGCGACCAGACTGTCACTGGCTGAGCTTCGCTGTACCGTTCGCAGGAACCGCCTTTTATCATGCAGTTGAAAGGAGAGGATGCCATTAACAAAACCGGAAATGATCTGCTGGTGGGCTACTGTAAAGACCTGGCGGATCTGCTGGCAAAAGAGATCGGCTTTACATGTGAGTATTTATGATGTTATGTCTCATGGTGCGTATGATTACGATGCACGACCTATTGCGATTCGTTCAAAATGACTACGGCAGTTATTAATTTCGATATATAACAATTATATACTTTAGTTTAAAATGCATGAAATTGTACTCCCATTAGTGAAGGGTGCTGTAATTCTCGTACCTTTTTCTTTTTTATCCATGCATCTCTAGCAAATGTGGGACAAAACTCGCAAACCTATGGACATCGTCATTGCTTATCCTCCGCCTCGTGTGCCCACGCATACTCAACGTTCCCGGCCATAGGCACAATGCTTTACGCAGAGGAGGAGGGTGGCCCTAAAAATACGGAGGCTGAGCAGTGAGAGACCCAACAGAGTCAGTCAACTAGACGCCAATTTCCTGAACGCCAGTCTCTGAGCTATTGTTTACCATCTTCGCTATGGATTGCTGTGGATTGATCCAGGCTAATCGCAAAGCTTTGGCTATTCGCGTTGTTTTGAACCGGACCGAGCGATAGGAGCGAAGACTAATACATTCCTTTACGGTAGTATTTTTTTCCATCGCGACCGGACACAAGGAAAATATCCAGGGGATGCCTCCCGCCTGTCTGACCGTATAGGGGATGCCGCACTCTGAACCTATTCTTGTCAGTTGAATAGATACATGATCCTCGACATGCCAGGCGTTCGTTCAGTGTTTGCAAATGACAATGATCTTGGACACTTATTGGCAGCATCGGTGCATTGCAATGGTGACGACTGACGTTAGCAAAATATCACGTTTTTTTTCATACCTACTAACACTCATCTGACCGGCCACAAAATTTGCGACATTTGAGCGAATTTCAATGTACGACATAACTAGGAATCTGTTTTCACTGTATGCTTCTTTGTCAATAGCAGTCCTCTAATTTATACAATTTTATATAGTGCGCGAGTTTAATCCAAATTTATATTTTTCGCTCTCCGCGCGTGTAACCATCATCCTTTCGGGCGCCAGTGTCTGTCGGCCGTCAACTGTCTCCTAGGCAGCTGCTGGTGGCAAGTTTTGTCTCTGCACTGAGAAAACAGTGTCCCGATTTTCGGGCTCAGAGACCAGTTTTCGGGCTAATGTACCATATTCAAAACAGACAGCACATTTCGAGAATACTTTCTGAGCAACGCCACATGGGCTCATACGATCCCTTAAATCGGTATCATTGATCGCAGAAACAGAGCTCAGTCAGTACCCATTATCGGTGTCAAGCTCTAAAACTAGTCTCACTATGATACCAGTTTTCAGCCTGATCCCCATTTTCGAGCTCACCTGATTCCAGTTTGAGGGCTCAAATTGTGTGGTGAAGCCAATATTAGGGCTCACGTCATCGCTTTTCGGGGCTTTGGTAAAAGCTGGATTGCGTCAGCTGGCTGGCCAGCTGGCGACGCACGAAAGGTATTTAATTTTAGATATACCTAAGCGCGGTAGTAGGATGGACATAAATATTTCAAATGGCTTTAAATGAAAAATTGATTGGTAAATATTTATTCTTTTATATCTAGCATTGATATGTAAGAAGCTCTGCTAGCGCCACCATACGGCGCCAGCTGGCAAAAAAATCCAGTTAATACCAGAGCCCGCTTTTCGTCCGATGCAGCCCCTCCTCCCCCCTCCCCCGTGTCCAGCAGCTGCGAATAAGACGAAGCCGCGGACAAACTTTTTTTTTGCTCGGCCAGCCTAGCGCCAGTCTCGAGCGGTGGGACAGTTAACCCGGCAATTTTGGCCGGGATGCAAAAGTTACGTTAAACCGGTTTATGTTAACCCGGGAGCAAATAACAACGTGGGAGCCTATCTTAGGTGTGGCAAAGCTAACGGATTACTTACTTGTTGCCGAGGTGCCCAAAGAAGGTACTGGAACCGAAAACACAACATTGGTTCATGTATTTATTAACATTCATACACACAGTCATACTTGTGCAAGGTGTCAGTGTTCGGTTGTGGGGTGTAATAGCCAGGGAAAAAGTTCTATGAACTGAAAAACCCGGCGCCTATTACTTCGCAACATGGTTGTGTATTCAACATGAACTGCAAGGAGTGCAGACGACATTGCCTGTGCTAACTTAACGTCTCACGGGCAGCGCCGCGCTCTGACACCTTGGTCCCAGAAGCTGCGGCGTTTCTGACCGCAAATCGCCGGAGAGCCGGTCGACGCCGTTGAGGGGACTGAGCAGGCCGCTGCCAGCTCCACCTTCACGTCCGCGCGGCGCAGCTCGGTGTGCGGCGGCGGCTCATCGCGCGGGCCGCACCCGTCCGTCCGCTGCACGAGCCGCTTTTCGATCCGACAGCGCAACACCGGCACGCCATTGTGCTGGCTGAGCGGCGGCAGCGGCACGTAGGCAACAAAACAGTAGAAATCGATGGGCCTGGATCGGCGTTGCCAGCAACGCCGGCAGCGGCGCGGCGGGAGGCGCCAGTGCCGCCGTCGGGGACGTGTGCCCTTCGCTGCGCTCATTCGAGTTGGCCGGCCGGCCGCGCGGCGTAGTCCTTTTGACACGGTGCGAGAAGAGCCGGATGAAGGTGGACTTTTTATTGGCGTTGCTGGTGCTCACGCCGCCGGCGTCCAGTTTGGGCGGCAAGTCCGAGTACCAGGAGTCGGACAAGTCCCGCGCGAACGCCGCCAGCCGGTCGTCGTCACTGCTGGCGGCGGCCCGCCGACGGCGCTGCCTCAGAATCGGACGAGTCGGTGGTACTGAGCACCTCGCGGGACGGGTAGCTGGGAGTGGGCCGGCCGCGGCCCCTGCCAGGCCGCGCCACCTTCACCGGCGCAGCCGCCTTCAAACTGCCCTTGCTGGGCGGCGGGTTGGTCGGCGGAGGCGGCAGCGGTGCCTCGACGTCAGTCCGAGTCGCTGTCACTGGGCGGCCGCCGCGGAGACGGCTTCTGTTTGACCCGCAGCCGGCCTGGGCCGGCTCGGCGCCCTCGGCCGGCGGCGCGCGCCGTTTCGAGCGTTTCACCTTTTCACTGTTACTCTCGCCTGGTCCTCAGCGTCGAGCGGCTCGGCGCTGTTCGGTTTCATGTGGCCCATGCTGCTGGGAAACTCGGGTGGGGACAGCTTTCTGACTGGAGTGCCGTCGAAGATGGAGGAGACGGGGGTGCTCGCAGAGTCCTTGCCCAATGCCCATGATAGAGCCGAGGCTCCACTGGACGCCCAGCTTAATCGGGCTATCGCCGCCCTCCTTCTATGGTGGATTCTTCGGCCCCCTACAGCCACTAGGGCCATCATATACTCCCAGATGGCGGCACCTAGGGGATGAGGGGGGGGGGGTGTCTGGGCCACTTGTCCACGTGGTGGCGTCGAGTCGGAGCAAATGATTATGGGGTCTTCCTCGAAGGACGGGTGCTTCAGGAGATGTTGCTTTGCCGTCTTGAGCGCCACCATCTCAGATCGGTAAATGGAGCAAATCCTCCCCGCCGCCTCCCGCAGTACCAATGTTGTACTGTCTGGGTGCTCGGTGAGGACCCCAGCGCCGCCTTCCTATTACTCCCCCGGTCGCAGACCCGTCGACCCAGGCCCACGTCGCACGCTGGGGGAGCGCTCCCAGGCACGCCTCCGCAGCACTCCTCCTCGCTGTCGCGGACGCCCCGATCGGCAGCAGGTCCAGGTGGACCGTGACGCCGTCTGTTGGCGTCTACGGGGCAGTCTCGTGGATAAGCGCGCCTCGGCGGGCAGCGCCACTCCAGTGGTCCCACACCGCTCCCCCGCGCTCTCTCCAGCCGGTCACTGACTTCAGTCACGGTTGGGGGGGAGGCTTCCGCCACGACGCGGCGGGTCCTCCGACGGGAGGGAGAGCGCCTTCGCCAGTAGGCGCGATGCCAGCGCATCCCTCCTCATCTCTCCATCGGCACGACGCCCGCCTCGGCCCTCACGGCGAGTCTTGGAGCATGGAAATCGGGCAGCCAGTGATGACTCATGCCACCATCAGCATCTCCGCCTCCAGGACGCCAAGATGTGTGGCCGCAGCCGCAGGCAGCCACGCCGACCCCGCTGCCCGCATGCCCAAGTAGTCTCGAATCGCTGACACCTCTCCTGAAACAAGAGTGGTGTCGTAAACTTAAACCCCTTGCTGGCGCCCGCCAGCCGCGACAACACCGCCACACCAATTTTTGTGACCCCGGAACTTCCGTCCCGAGCCCTATTTCACGGCACGATGCTACAGTGCGCTACACGTATTGTGGTATTCAGCTTCCATGGAAACATCAACTAATTTGGACGCTCAAACATGGGAGTCAGGAGTGGTTAAGGCCCAGAGCGTTCTGTCTGGTTTATAAAACCTTGGCCAGCAGATGTAAACGTGCTTTTTGTATAAGTGGCTTAATTTTGACGCAAAAGGGCACTAACCTTCGGCGCAAATAATGCAGAAATTTCAGCGCAAATTGCAAAATAGCTTGCGCCGAACTTCGGCGCATGACGGCTTCACGGGCGTCCGGCGTACCATATGGATGTTTTCCAGTTTGGGCTGCAGGTTTTAGCTCTAGGTTTTAGACTGTAGGTTTTGGATTGGGTTGGGCTGGGCTGGGCTGGGCTGGGCTGGGCTGGGCTGGGCTGGGTTGGGCTGGGCTGGGCTGGTTGGGGTGGTTGGGTTGGGTTGGATTAGGTTAGGTAAGTTTAGGTTAGTTTAGTTTAGGATAGATATGAATACCTATTTTTTGTAAGTTGAATTACTTTTTTCATTTTGTAGCATCATATGCCTTCCATCTTTGAACTGCCATATTCAAGCACCAGAATAAGTATGGACTTGAACCTTTTCCAGTCTGGATGCCTGTATGGAAGTTGTGCAAAATCATGCAGTTGAAGGTATTGTAACCACAAATAAGAGCTCATGACTCAAGTCTCAACTTGTCCATAATTGGTTATCTTGATGTATACTTGTAGACCCTTCCTCTTACTTGGCACACAGGCATGGTGTCACAGTGTTCTAAAATTGGATTTCAATTGGGTGTCCCAATAAAAAAAAATCTGAAGACAAAATGAGATAGATTTAGTCTTTCCGCAAAACTGCATAATGCCATTTTTTCCCTCAGATTTTGTCAGAACCTTCAAAGGATCTGAAATGAAATGATGTAGAGTAGATGCATCAACTGTCAAGTCATGCGTAACCTGGCAGCTGGCTGTTGAATCAAACTTTTGACATATTTTTTTTTTTTAGCAAAGATGAAATAAAGCCACTTGTCATATTTTTAGGATGAAAATATTTTCCCCATCATGTGTGGTTATTCACCTAAAATTCTGAAACATGGAACACTGTCATACCAGCATTCCATCATGTCAACCAGCATTCCGCAGCATGTTAGCAGAAGCAGCAGCATGTTATAAGTATATGAAAGATCCAAATAGGTTGTAGGTTGGTAGGTATTGGTACTAAGTTTAACTTAATAGGTTAGTAGGCAAGGTTAGGATTAACTTTAGTTGAGCATCAAGATAACCATTACGAACAAGTAACAAAATCCTTACCTACCCTTGAAAGTATTGCTTCAATCACATCATCACGAAGAACCAGACAAAAATTTTGCACATTCTTACACTATTTGACATCCTGAATCCAGATATGATGCTTTCATGTGGCGCAAATACAAGAAAAACGAATAATCAAACCCGTGCGTATTCGTATCAACGGCGCCACAATTGTAGATCAGACCTTTTTCTGAACAAATGCCACCACAATTTTAATTGATAAGGGATTAAAATGGCATGAGCATCAACATCTTGATTTTTTCTAAAAGATAGCGATAACTGATAACTAATAACTTACCATTCATTTTGAAATCACGGCGGTAGGTACACCAACACATGGCACTGAAAACAGCAAAAGACGGAATGGCGGAATGTCGTATGGAGCCCTAAAACGCAGCTCGAATTGAGCCCGAAAAGGAAGACGAACTGATGCCGCTTTCGGGGCTAATGTACTTTGAGCCCGAAAAGGGCGCCTAACTGATCCCGATTTTAAAATCATACAGATTTGAGCCCTGTTTTGGCACTCATATGAGCCCTTATTCAAAAATGTTCTCAAAGTGTTTTCTGAGTGTGGTTATAGCGGCGTCTGTCGTCTCTGTCGCAGATGAGATGCGGCTGGTGAAGGACAAACGCTACGGAGCCGTCAACACTTCGGTGGAGGGCAACTGGGACGGCATCATCGGCGAGCTGGTCAGACGGGTGAGTGGGGAGAGGGACAGCGTGACACGCCCAACGACGTTTCAACACCTCGACGCAGTGTCATGCATACACTGTAAAAAAGCCCCTTGTAGGAAAACCGCCGGCACAAAAAATGATCGCATGCACGGCCGTGTTAAAATCGCCTCATATTTAGCTTGTTCTGCTCTATAGAGCAGAAGGAGTAAGTCACTAAGCTTGGAAGTCTGCTGAGGCTTGTGAATTTTTGTGTATTTAATTGTCAATCTGGTAAACTTAATTGACCATAATATGCTTATTGCGTGGGTTTTAAGGATGGTGAAATGGTCAGTACACACTTCTAGAAATCGATATAGGTAATGGGTTACATAGTAGATCGCATGATAAAGCTTAAAACTATATTGAATATTGTGCAGGCTCAGATCAGACGACATACCCCCCCCCCCCCCTGGCCCTTTGTTATACCTGAAGGAGGGATGTGGATCAAAATGTCTGCTCAGAATATCAGGATATTGCGTACCATGCGTGTCTGTGCAAATAAATAAAACACCGTAAGCAATACAAATTTAAACAGTCATACATATCCCTAGCGTATATGTGGGTGCTGCGTTTGCTAAAACTTTAGCTTCAGAACTATCTTCCGAGGTCATTGAAGCATTCTTTGCATTCAGCGACAACACAAGTCACTACCATCCTGGTGGAGCCAAGCTGTTGAGTGGCATTCTGTCCCGAGATCAACATGTTATTGGCTCTTCTGGGGGATATTTAAATCGCAAATTAGCTCTGAACAGAATGTGAGAGTAGGCGTCTTTAATGAAATCCCCCGACGCTCGATGACAAGAGTCAAAGTTCACATCAGGGAGGAGCTCGACCGTATCATCGAGCTGGTGTTAAATTGGGCACTGACAGGGGCGGACTCGTGCGTAACATCGTAATTACGCCAAAGGTGACAATGACATTTTCATTACGAGTTGTGGTAAAGGTCAGTCATGCTCATACTAAAAGTGGTAGCAATCGAGGCTTCATAATCAATAAAACTAAATATGTGAAATCCCCAATTAGGCGCTTGCAATGAAACTCGAAGCCAAATACGTAGGAGCTGTCAGACGGGGCAGCATCCCCAAGAAGCCGTCTCCCTGATGTTCCGCAGGAGGCCGACATGGCCATCGCACCCCTCTCCATCAGCCTTCGAAGAGAGCAGGCGGTCTTCTTCACCAAGCCCTTTATGACACTGGGAATCTCCATCATGATCAAGAAACCAATCAGGAAAAACCCAGGTAGGGTGTGTGAAGTTGTAAATGTTAATGGGTAATAAATTGTGTGAGAGTTACATGTAACCCCAACTGCATCTTCGACAGATCTATAACTTTCAACCATCATGAGCCTTAGTATCATTTACACATTTGATATCAACCAACTCAAAATTTTTGGGTTTGTTGGTATGTCCTAAACGTAATCAACATTTACGTTCAACATTTTACGTTCATTTTACATGGCCTCTTATCGTGTCGGATCACTGTGAAAACCTTTATCACTTCCGGTAGCTTGTGGGTCTCCGGTGAGGTGACGCAAACGTTTTCGTGGACATTTTGTAAATCAAATTAAAGTATTGATTCGACAGCGACGGGAAATTAAGATGATATCGAAATACCTTCCCGGTTTTGTGAGATGATACTGCGAACGCAGCTGTCTGCCACTTCCAAGGCCGGTTCGAGGAATCCCATCACCAGCGGCGCTCTCACCACCGGCAGGCTTCTTCTCGTTCCTGAACCCGTTCAGCCGCGAGATCTGGCTGTGCGTCGTGTTTGCCTACTTCGGCGTCTCGATCGTGCTGTTCCTGGTGTCGCGTTTCTCGCCGTATGAGTGGCGGCTGGAGGAGACGGTGCTGGGCACGGCCGTCACCAACGAGTTCACCATCTACAACAGCCTGTGGTTCGTGCTCGGCTCGCTGCTGAAGCAGGGCAGCGACATCAGTCCACGGTAAGCAAAAGGGAGGTACTTTCAGCCGATTTGGGTTGGATCTGGCAGAGGAACGCCAAAATGCCATGCATTGGTGTCAAAATGCCATTGGTGTCAGCCAAAACAGGGTTCACATTTTGTAAACTCAAAATGCTAAAGCGGTTTGGCTTTGAGAGATCATGGACAACTGTTTAAATGCATGTAAGAAAACATCCACATAGTAACCCTCTCCCCTGTGGGGCAAAAAGTTTATGATCAGAAATCGAACAGTGCATGCCTTTTCCAGTTCAATTTCGTCACTCTTATTTTTTCTTACGTGGCGCTGTTCTTGGAAGGTTGTGTTTTGACGCTGTGCTGAGTGCTCTGACGCTGTATGCTGATACTGCGCAGTGTGCTTTGCTGACGGCTGACGCTAGGGTCAGTTGATGTTTTGTGCTGTGACGCCTGACGTCTGCGCACCGCTCGTCAGCTCGATCTCTGGCCGTCTGGTGGGCGCCTGCTGGTGGTTCTTCTGCCTGATCCTGGTCTCCTCCTACACGGCCAACCTGGCCGCCTTCCTCACCGTCGAGAGGCTCGTCACTCCGATCAACTCGGTGGAGGAGCTGGCCTCTCAGAGTGACGTCGAGTACGGCACTATGCGAGCCGGCGCCACTACCGACTTCTTCAAGGTTAGTCCCGGGGAGTGATGTGGGCAGCTATGGGACATGGTGGGGACGGGAACAGGTGGCATCGGAGAAAGGATAGATAGAATAAACCATCAAAAACTGGGATTCAGCTCCACAGGACTAGCTCCAGTAACTCCAGTAGTGTAACCGACCGGCTGGACTAGTTAGGTAGTCTCATAAAACGCTGGTGTGTCGTCTAGATGCACAAAATGCACGTCTCTGATCAACTGATCACCTCTCCACCGATCAGCCCTGCAGCGCGCCTCTACCGATCTGTCCGCCGGACAGCATCGCTCCTCGTTTTTGCTCTACGCTCGTCATCTGCCGCTGGAGAAGCCTCTCTACTCTGTCGAGCTGCGCTCAGTAATGGATGCGGCGGCCAGCGTTGAGCAGCTGGCCGCGCTGCCAGACGCCGTACTTGTTGTTGGCAGCGGCACGCCCCCCCCCCCCCCCTGTCAGGATGATGAGGGGGGTGACGGCTTCAGCCAGCCAGCACGCGCAGAGCACAGTGTGCGAGGGAACTTGTCCCTCGACGAGCATACCATTAACTATACATTTCAATTCTTATGAACAGACAAGATGATTATATTTGCCACTTTTATTTTCGTTTTCATTGCAAAAAAAAAAAATCAGTCCCAAGGCACGCTGTGTGCAAGTCGGTCTGCGGTCTGAGATTGAACTTTGATATATAAGTAAAAATCAGCAATAAATTATCATAGAACGCAGTTTTCCCTTCAGATTTAACCCTATTAGTGGCAGGCTCCTGGCTACCCCTATTAGTGGCAGGGGGGGCTGTTTACGACCCCCCTTGATATCTCGAGATCTAACGGGCCGATTTTCAAAATTCAAACGGCATTCGATTTCGCTCAACGTGATCTACATTTCTAAAAAATAAAAATTAAAAAATGTCAATAGGGGGGGGGGGGGTAGAGGGGGTAAAAACGGGCAAATTGCAGATACATTTTAGACTGTTTATCACGGCCAGGTTTCTGAACCAATCTTAACGCAACTTTTGCCGATCGATAGAGAATGAACCAGGAATTCACATGGATCCTAAAAATATGCATTTTCAAAAATCATAGGCGGATACAGATCATTGAGATTGGGGGTACACAAAAAGTAAAGTAAATAAGGTTTTTGTTGGTACTGTTTCTAAAAAGGGCTGGTAATGGTCTTGTTATGTTACAATTTTCTTATGAGAGAACGACTACAATTGTATTGGTCATGCATAGGCGGTGTCAGGGCACCTATATTGGGAGGTAAAACATAACCTCCCTTTTTGGACGCCTGGATCCGCCTATTATAGCAAAAACGTGTCAAAAGAGGATGCACAATAACTGTATATGTTATCACATGATACCTTTCATTCACTGCTCGTAAAACTGGTGCAGCATCGTGATCTTCGCCCAAATGACTCGCTTCACGAATAGGACCCCCAATTCCCAGTGCTCTGGAGCCGCCCCTGGTAAAGTTATGAACTTGAAATTTTCAGGGCATGTGCCCAATTTAGTTTTAGGAAAAGTCAGAAAATTTCAGCATCGTAGCTTCAGCGGTTTCGGAGATATTCCCGAAAAACCTGAGGGGTGGATAAAAACAACCCCCCCCCCCCCGCCACTAATAGGGTTAAGAAGAGAAATTGTTTATTCATACAAAACCGAAAAGTTTTGTTGCAATGCTTAAACCAAGGCCACCACTTTATTTAAAAAATAACGTTCTTTAAAAAACTCTCTCTCTCTCCTCTCTCACCTCTCTCTCTCTCTCTCTCTCTCTCTCTCTCTCTCTCTCTCTCTCTCTCTCTCTCTCTCTCTCTCTCTCTCTCTCTCTCTCTCTCTCTCTCTCTCTCTCTCTCTCTCTCTCTCTCTCTCTCCCTCTCTCTGGTGCCCAGTTTATTTGATAAAGTCCGCTTCCTACTTTCATCTTATTAATAAATTGACTACATTTTAGACCTGCACTTGGATGAAAAGTCTTTGAAACTGTTCAGTGTTTAAGATGATTTTGCATTGTATTATAAAACCATGATAATTTAGACAGAAATAAGGCGTTAAAGGATCAAAGGCCCTCATTTTTACCGTATTGCCCTCATTTTTACGTTATTCATGTTCTCATTTTTTATCGGCAAATATATTTTTCCCCTATTCGTACGCATGACACATGCATCCGAATTGGGTCTAAAAAGCGTTAGCATATATATGTTACAGGGAGTATGCGATTTCAGTTAGTTTGCAACGACCCTAGGGTGGTTGTAACCTCCCTGAACGATCAGTTTGTTTGCAACGACCCTAGGGACGTTACAAAATAACTGCTCGTTCCGGGACGTTGTAACGAAACTAGGGTCGTTGCAACCTCCCTAGTTAGTATGCAACGAACCTAGGGTTGTTACAAAATAACTAGGGAGTTTAAGAATTCATCGAGTCTCGTTTCACAGGATGGCCGTCAACAATCTTGTCCAATGAAAATCTTGTTCAATCTAGTTGATTTAAAAAGAAAAGGAGAACAAAATTTGAACATTCAGCTCAGGAGTATTTCACGACGGCCATCCTGTATACATTTTGTGCAGATTTGTTCAAATTAGATGAAGCCCTTCGTAAAAACGGCTATTATCCGCTCGTTTCCAGTCTTTCTGTGATTGTAAACGTTCAAACATGTGAAATGATGGTGGTCCCATGCATTATGGTGGGTGTCAAGGTCACGTGAAGGTCAGGTCAGGGTCATTGACCTTTGATGACCTTACTTCACTTCTTCTGGGTTCAGATATTTTTAGGCTAGTTTTTGGAGCTGATTTCGAATTTAGCACCCATTTGAACATTTACGAAGTAATCTTGGCGCCTTCGTACCACGTCACGAGGCTGTCAGTGGTGGTTGACATCTACTATGGACAGCTAGCAAGATGCCTTCTGGTTGACCTGACCTGACCTGACCCGACCTGGCCTAAAAACATCAAGACATCGTCGGTGATCAAAGCTAACATGAAATTCGTGATCAGCGCCCCGAAAAAACTCGTAACAACCTAACTCTCCAAAGTTTTGACAGGTCCCGATTTTCCCGACTTTTAAGTCACTGACCTGACCTGAAAGGTCAACCAATAACTTAGCCCCGCCCTGTGCGTTTGCGGCTAGCAAAACACAAATAAGGGCGAGAGTAACCCCGCAGGACCTGTTGGTTTTCTACATACGCGCCGGCCGGGAGGAGGGTTGGTACGACCCCCTCGTCGGTTTTCGCCCCTGATGGAGTTAGAGCGTCGCGGAAAAAAACGAGCGTGTGTGCCCGGTGCCGTTAGGAGACACAGCAACTAGTACCCGACTTTAACCCGCGCCCCACTGGGGGGGGGCTATTTATAGCCCCCCCCCTCCCGTTTTTCTGCAATAACTTCCAAACCGCTTGACGGATCGACGCCAAACTTTCAGTACCTTCGGCTGCATCAATTTGACACCTTGTGTCAAAATTTGAACTTCGTAGCTACCATAGGTCGGCCGGAAATGACGTCAGAGTGACGTCATGTTCGTCCGATTTCGACGCAAAACATTGAACCACGGCAATCGCTCCCAAGAGCTCAGTTTTTAAGCTAGATCCAATTTCTTTGCATGAAAGAACTCAGAATTGACCGCGCTATCAAACTGCTATCTCGGATTTTCAAAATTTTGAAAATTTTGAAAATTTTATATAATAATATTCAAAATTTATATTTTTATATTTTTTTCAAAAAGTTTTTGACTTTTCGAAAAAACCGGAATATATGTGACAGAAAGCATGATTATGACTAACTCTAGCAAGTTTTAGCTAAATATCTTCAAAAATGGCCAAGTTATACGCATTATTGCAAAAAATTCACAATTATTAATTTTTCAAATCAATTTTTTAGTACGTATTTGGCATCGTACACCAATATAAATGGCACCATCGTGTTCCTGAGCTCAAACTGCATCCAATAGACACCTTTTTTGTTGAAAAATTTCAACTTCAAAATTTGACCTTTTTTGACCTGAAAGTGACCTGACCTAAGCTAAATTCGACTCAAAATGACCTCGAATGACATAGAAGACATCAAATTCGAAATCTATGGCCTAAATGGACCATAAAACATGTGTCACGTGACCGATGCATGATATAATATTTTCGTGACCTGTGATGACCTGACCCTGACCTGAAAATCAAAGTACAAGTTTGGTACCCTCAAGGTATCTAGAGCATCTGTTCACGAGTGTGGAAACCAAAAATGAGCCTGATCTGACTTGTAAGACGGCGGCCAGAGCCCAAAATGTGAACAAGCCAAAGTGCTAATAATTTTTACTTTGACCTGACCTGTGACGTCATCGGTGACCTCGAGGTCAATGAAATTAGGTTTCGGTCGACAGTTTTTCCGGGGCTATCAGACGCCGTTTGAATTTTGACGATCGGCCCAGTAGTTTCGGAGTTAGGAGGGGGGGCTATGAATAGCCCCCCCCCCCAGTAGGGCGTGTTATACACAGACCCCAGTGGGGCGCGGGTTAAGGTCTCAGGTTAACCGGTGACCTCTGAGGTCAGGTCAATTGTGACCCAAGACACGGATTCGGTTTTTTATTAATAACTTCTTAAAAAATAGTCGCAGAGCGCGATTTTAGCATCAACGTGCTCGCCTTGCTCAGGCGCGTCGAATGGTATACTTTTAGTTCGGGTGAGGTCAACTTGAGGTGTTGACCTCGGGTCAAGGTCAGGTCAGAGACCCCTAGGTCGCGACATTGGTCAAAGGAGGTCATGTTGCATATTATTCGATTCGGCACGTCTTCCTCAGTCCATTGGTGGCTTGACCGACTCGCTATCTCAGTTTGATCGGGAATTATTGACGAAAAGCTCGTATGACCCTAGTGACGTCATAAATGACGTCAAGCAAAGTCAACAATGCAAAATTGAAGCATCTAACCTTGCAAGGAGAGCATGAAATCACGATCCGTGTACTTATGTAAGATAGTTTGAGATCGTTCCCGGCGCCAGAATAGCAGTTTTCTTTTTCTCAATTGACTTATAGTGGTGAGGTCACGTGACCGACCTGACCTCTTGTGATCTTTAGGAAAAATCCTAGAGGTACTTACAAGTTGTGAGACTTCTAGAAGATGCACGTACTGTAAGTTTCATCCCCCTGTAAAAGCTTTTCAGGGACTGAGGGCGTTGCGAAGTTGCGGCATCTGAGGACCGTCCACTTATAACGTCATAGGTCAGTAACCTGACCTGACCTGAAAATCTGGTTGGTGTCACAAGATCCGGCTTTTAATCAAAGATCAGGTATCCTAGTTTCAGCTCTCTGTTGCTGGCGTGTTCGGAGCTATCGCGAAAAAAAACGTGGGGGGGGGGGGGCGAGGATTAAGCTAGGCTGAGTAGGGTAAGTTTGGATCAAGTAGTAGGGGTCCCACCCGCACCACCTGTTTAAAGCAAGTGTACCTAAACCACCAGCGACAGCTTCGTAGCAAGTTGCATTGGCAACACAACTATACGTACTTCTCAAATGTCTCAGCGAATGCTGGATTCCAAATAAGCTATAAAAAATCCCTTAAAATCGTAAAAATTGAAACAGTCACCCGAAGTCACCAAACGTCAATGACCTTGACCTGGCCGACAACTGACAAGTCAACTTAAAACCCATCATGATGCATGGGACAACCATCAGTTCACATGTTGGCACGTTTATATGTAATCACAATAGAAGTCTGGAAACGCAATTTTATGTCATGCGCTAACATAAACGGCAAATAATTTCGGTCTGCCATGGTCTCAGAAATCAGATCAAAGGTCAAAGATCATTAGTTTCAGGATCATGAACTGTATGGAGAATGTGTAACCAGTAACGTAGATAAGTTCGAGGACACTCAAAGTTTCGTCACGATCGGCCGCTTTTAGCGCGAGATAATCGCGAAAAAACGAGGGGTTTTATCGGACCCGCACCCAAAGTGTGAGGGATAACCCGCACACGGATTCCGACGGATATCCATCACACCTACCCCAGTAACTATATTTTCTACATGTAAGCATATGCTGGCGATACAATGCAGCCAAAATTATCACAGTTACGTGCTTTGTCCCGGGCACCACATATATATGTGGTGCAGCTCAGCTCAGGAGTACTCCTGAGCTGAATGTTCAAATTTTGTTCTCCTTTCATTTTAAACTGAACTAGACTGAACAAGATTTTCATTGGACAAGATTGTTGACGGCCCTCATGTGAAACAAGATTCGATGAATTCTTAAACTCCCTAGTTATTTTGTAACAACCCTAGGTTCGTTGCATACTAACTAGGGAGGTTGCAACGACCCTAGTTTCGTTACAACGTCCCGGAACGAGCAGTTATTTTGTAACGTCCCTAGGGTCGTTGCAAACAAACTGATCGTTCAGGGAGGTTACAACCACCCTAGGGTCGTTGCAAACTAACTGAAATCGCATACTCCCTGTAACATATATTCATACATCTGCAATACATACGCTCAAAACCTCAAGCGCATTGTGGATATAAATCTCGTCAGTTTTATAAAACAACAAGATATTTCAGCAGCGTATCCCACCCAACCTATCCACTTATCTTGAGCTTATCCCCAGGCCTATCCACCACTGCCGTCTAATATCTCCGCGTGCTCTCCGCAGCAGCACAGCCCTAGTCCTGGTCCTAGTCCTAGTCAGCCTATTTGAGTTGATCGCGATGCACCTGCACGTCCTGACCAGCTCGTCGCCATAATGTGCACCTCTCCCGCCCTTTCGCTGCCAGCCCGACTGAGGTCATTAATGAACAATTCATCATCGCCTCCAGCACCGCGGCGCAGACGGCAAATAAATTCCACCGCGCGCTCGCCAAACTCTGCACGGGAGCGGCGACCGCCGGCCGGGGTCACTCATTAATTGTCGGGTGGGAGTGTCGAGGTCTCGAGACCACTCAGTGGTCCCGCCGGGCAGAAGTCGCTGGCTCTCGGCGGCAGTCCGCGAGCTCAGATCGTCGGCTCGGTTTTGTGGTCGGCGGGCGATCAGAAGTTGGTCGAGCCGGGCGTTTGTGTGGTTCCGCAGCATTGACTTTGATAGTGTGTGTACCAACCGTAACGTTGTGGAACATCCTTACGTTTATCCTGACCACGGAACTTTGCTTCCCAGAGCGGCGGCAAGCATTGCTGGCTAGATTCAGAGTGGATCAGAGCTTCAATCTTTGGTTCTGTGCGTGGAGAGAAAGAGAGGAGAGAGGAGGGAAGGAGGGAGAAGGAGAGAGAGGGAGAGAGAGAGGAGAAAGAGTGATAGAGATGGGAGAGAAGAAAAGAGCGAGGAAGGGAAGTGCTCCAAAGATTGCAGTAGGTGGCAGTGTAGGTATGCCACGAGCATCATAAAAAAAATCCTTTCCCTTCTCAGCACATAACTCAAAACCCTGATATCGATAGTCAAGTCTGCTATGCAACAAATAAAAGCTCAAGGCATCCATCCTCCGAACGACTTTGAATGCTGTCGTCCGAATGTTCGTAGGCTCGATCAGGTTTTCCCAGAATTTTAACACCAAACCAAAGCTTGACATCAGAGCTTTAAATCCTGTCATACAAGCCGAAAAGTCTTGGTGCAGACTACCAACTAAATTTCGATACCAAAGCCGTCGATTCTTAGACCGGTAGGTAAGTACAAACATCACCAGCATCATTTCCCCAAAATCTCCAACCTGTATGCAGCGTATACAGGCATTACTGATCTAGTTAAACCTTCGAAGACTGAGCTCCTGCATCCACCGGGGAAGTCAAGTCTTGAATTTCTGTCTCGATTTTACCATTCAGGGCTTAATTTCTAGAAATGTGTCGTAAGGTGACAAGATAATTGCAAACCTCTGAGGCTGATGCACGGACATTATTTCTGTAGACACCTTATCAACTAGCTTTATACCGGTAATCACCAGCGGTCTGAACTCGGACCCTCACCCTGTCTCAACGGAATGGGAATGGAATGCTGTGTATGCATGCAGGAAAGCGTTTTGTCGCTGCCGAAATAGCTCAACATACGAGTATCTTCATCTTTTCTTGTTCACACACAATATATGGTTGGTGCAATATATAACTTATTCCAAATTATGTGTATTTGTAAAGGCAATGAAACATGTGCGCAGATTATGTGTTGTTCGCTATGCCCCTGCTCAACAAACACTGCAAATTCAGTCGTCCTCTGATGCTCGATCAACATAAGATTTAATAATGAGGGGAATACTTCAACCACAGATGCCTGGCGTCGAAAAAAAAACACAATATATGAAGGAACATCGATTTCTAGAGCTGATTCTTAGCAGCATTTACCGTCAGCCTCGATACAATCATTCCTACTTTTCAGCATGCCTCTCTGTGATTATCCCCGACGCCGATAACACCTGATACAGCGACTCCCTGTGCCGCAGAACTCCAAGCTGGGCGTGTATCAGCGGATGTGGGACTTCATGTCTTCCAACGAGCACGTGTTCGTCCAGACGTACCGCGAGGGCATCGAGAGGGTGCGCAACTCCAAGGTGAGCGACACGCCTCATGCCGTACTCGGCGAGTGCAGACCAATCCAACAAATCATGAACCAATCAAAACGCTACTCCAATGCAATGCGTAATTAATAGCTTACGGCGCTTACGAGTGTCGCATACAGAGGCATCCCTTTTAGCCTTGTTGATTGAGTGGGTTTGTGTTATATCGAATGTTAATTATTGATCATCGAATGGTCTTTTTCGGTGGGAATATTGTGCCAATCACACTTTGCTGTGCCAGTTGCAATGGTTGTGAAAATGGCAGCTATTATTTCGCAACACCTTTTTAAACCATAAATGACCCAAGCGTCGACAAATGTATATGCAGTCAAAATAATCAGAAAGCAAAAAAAAATTGTGGCAACAGCATGGGCGATTCACATAAGCACATCCGCGCATCGCCATTTGGTTCAAACACTAATAAAAGCCTCCGTTCCTACTCCATCCTCCCACATATATACCTATTACCTACTCCCACATACAATCCACCATACTCCATTCTGAGTCGTTCCTTTGCGTCTATGACTTATAGCTGACCTCACCGACGCCTCCAGGGCAAGTACGCTCTGCTGGTGGAGTCGACCACCAACGAGTACGTCAACGGCCGGCAGCCGTGTGACACGATGAAGGTCGGGCAAAACCTCGACTCCAAGGGCTACGGCGTGGCTACGCCACTGGACTCTCCGTGGAGGTATGAGACTCGCAGCAGCAGTGGCGATCGGCCACTGTGCGCCCCACTGTGAGCGGAACACTGAGACTTTCTGTGACATCTTAAATTATAACGGGGAGTGTGCAGCATGTGGTGTGATGTCCTGGTTGGAAATGAATTAAATTTTGGTTGAACATACTTTGCTCCTTTGATGAAGTTCGTCTGCAAAGCTTATCATAGCAGATGAGTTTTTAGACCAACTAGATTTATGTCTTGCATTTACGACGATATGATATTCAAAAAGAGTCTTTGAATATCTCAAGTAAGATATGAACTAGTTCTTATTTATGCTCAAAGTTTCGGGCAAAGTCAGCTTCATCAAATTTATACCAAGCCTCGTGATGCTTTAAAAGGGTATATGACCTGGACAGCGCTGAACGTACCGAGTTTCTCACTTAGTGGCTGACGCTGTACTCCCGGGACTTTAGCTTTAACGCTGTGTTCACAGTAGATAAACAAAGTCTAACGCAGTCCCCACTCGGTATTTGTGTCTAGCTGGGTGATGCATTTACTGCAGCGAGTTCGAGGAAACCGGGAATTTGCAGAGTCACCAGTGGGCTGAGAGAGATATCAAGTGACCCGCGGATTCACAGTTTCCACGAACTCACTGCATAAACACACGTATTGAATCTGTTTCAAGCATCGCATGATGCATGCTGCTAAAATGTGAGTGATCTGAAATCCGAATTGTAGCTCTTACAAAGAATCACGTTAGAGTTTGACACACTGCTCGAACCAAAGCCGTGGATAATAAGTTAGATAAGATCTCCCTAGAAAACAAATCGAAGCAAAACAAAGCACCGTATGTTTGCCTTTTGTAGGGATGCCATCAACATCGCGGTGCTGCGGCTGATTGACTACGGGGAGCTGGCCAAGCTGGAGAACAAGTGGTGGTCGACCAACTCCGAGTGCAAGGAGGTCGAGGTAGGATCGCTCGAGACTCTATAGTATGTAGGTAACGAGGTGGTGGTCGACAAACTCCGAGTGTAAGGAGGTCGAGGTGAGGATCGCTCGAGACTCTGTCGTAGGTACTGATGGGTATGACCGGCACAGCCGGCTATACAGTTGCATTTACAGGGCAGTTAGTGGGCGTTGAAGCCGTGTCATGGTTGGGTCAGTTTGCTTTAGAATAATGATACTCTCGGTGCTCAATAGTGGAGCGGATACCTAAGCACAGAAAACAGTTTACTCTCCACAATTATTGTCGTTTTCCCCCTAACGTGGTCAAATGTCCTCTCGTCAGGAGTCGAAGGCCAGCGAGATGCTGCTCAGCAACGTGGCGGGCATCTTCTACATCCTGATTGCGGGCCTGGTGCTGGCCATGGCTGTGGCGCTCACAGAGTTCTGCTGCAAGTCCAAGACGGAGGCCAAGCGTGCCAAGGTGGGCGGCGCGCGAGAAGCCACGGCCCCTTGGAGCGTAGATAGCCATGTACGCGCCCGTACTCCTAGGGGTGGGTTGTCCATGCATGCTGCTGGCGATGTCTTACAGAATAAGAATATCCAAACTTTGATGAAGAAAGTGAGGGGCTTCTCACATCGTTCTAGCTAGTTGAGCTGATTTACGAAAATGAATGTTCACTATGCATTGTAGTAGAACTATTGTCACAAGTTGTCTCCACAACAATATCGATTAGGTAGCTTCCAGCATGCCGTTATACAACATATGTACATAGATGCATAGATTAATAGATCATTTCGCGCATATAGATTTCAGCAAATTTTCTCTTGCTTTTAGAATAGCGCATTATATGACGCACTACTTGAACATTTCCCCAACCAATGATCCTGATTCTTCGTCCCGCCGTTCACTTCTAGCCGTCCACTGATGTGAAGTGCCGACAATGGTATAGGCTCCTGCCTGCCACCATCCATCGACTCCTCCCTAGACCCTTTCCTCTGCCTCATCTCCCGCCGGTAATCCCTCTCTCTTTCTCTGTCTCGCCCTCCTACGCTGATCCCTTCTCTCCTTCCTCACCATTGACCCCCCCCCCCCCACTCCGACCTTCACCATTGACCCCCTGCCCCACCCCCTCATCATTGACTCCCCCCCCCCCCGCCCCGCCCCCTCAGACGACTCACATGGATGCCATGAAAGCTCGAGCCCGCATGACCATATCCGGAACAGCTGACGTCGACGGCAGTAAGGTAAATACGGCCGCGCGTTCCGACTCATTAGCCCTTCGCCCCTCCCTCGCCCCGCGCCGCCCCCTTCCTGGAGCTGTCCTCTGAATGGGGACACGGGTTCGGGGTCCTTTGGGGGTCTTTGGGTATGGGGACGCTGACACGCTGTTCTGAATAGTCCAGAGAGTCATTATGCATATATGTGATTTGGGTTCGTTGAGTTTGTGTAATCGTTCATGAAATGCTGTGCTGTTTTGTAACATGAATTATTCACTATGCAGTTATGTCAACAACGGTTGCTCTCACGGATATTGTTATCTATCATAATGTATAAAAATGTCCACAGTTAAAGTTGCAACGAAAAAAAGATAGTGAGGAAGGAAATGTGCTACTTGTGTCATAATGGGTGAAATATGCTAGATCACCTATTCTATGCAATGGACAGTATAGAGATCCACCCTATATTGAAAACAATGTCAGAGACACGCAGATGTGACACATTCATCACAGTTTGACGGGACCAACAATCTCTACTAGAGATTTCCACCGTCAATAATATCAAACAGTACCTATCACAACAATGACATCCGCGGCCATAGTTTTTTTTAAGCTCATCTGATAACTGTTAAAATAACTTGTTGAAAATGATAAATTTTCTATCACGGATCTTTGTCAAATCACATTCAAAGCTTTAAAAAAATTGAATTTTGAATGTGATTTGACAAAGATCCGTGATCGAAAATTATCATTTCTGCATTTGACTTTTTTGTAAAATATATCCTACATACAATTTCAAGGAGAGGTCATTCACAAAGTATTTTAAATACTGTTAAAGAGTATTTTTTCGAATCATCATTTCCAACATGTTTGATAAGGCTAGTTTATCTTTTAAAAAGACAGCACATGACATAACACATTTGAGATCGCAAATAGCAGAGCTAAATTTACACTGCATTTGTGACGGAAGTCTCAACAGCATAGCAATTAGAAGTAATCCAAATATTTCAGAATGGGATTAATTCACCTGTTATTAGACGTGCTAGATGTTTTCCCACACACGAATTACCGCGCACGTTTAAAAAAGTTGTCCCTTTTGCTCTCTGAATATAAAAAGCGGGCAATGCAAGCAGGCCGCCTGTCTACTTATGACGAAAAAATTCAGTTACAACCCTCGGCGTTAGGCAGTCGTAGGTACTGAAGCTGCACTTTAAACATGCAAACATTTGAACTTCGAGCAGTTTCACAATGTAATTCTGGCAGCGCGGAGCGGTCCGGACGCGCTCGCCGTGTCACCACGCCCACTGTTTCGTGTGTTTTCAGTACTACACGCCAGCCAAACACGTAGACGGAGAGCGGCTTACTAACTCACACACCCACGTATGATAGGAGGCGGCGCCAGTGGACTCAGCCGCCTCCGGTGAGGCGAGCGTCGACTCTCGCCAGGCCTACACTCCGCCAGAGGAGTTCCGCGACCGATTCGACGACGAGACGGGAGAGTTCATCGGTCTGCGGCGGCTGGGGAGGTAGCAGAACGGCTGCGGTCGACACAGACACCCTCCAGCCCGCAGCGAGCTGCCGAGGGAAGCATTGTGGAAGTGGACTCCCCCGCGGGAAAAATGGACTCGTCCGGAATGGCAGCGACCCGCCTCGCGGCTTTCTTAGCCGAAAGTTACGAGGCCGTGTGACAAAGTGACGCGCGTGACGACTCGTTCATCGAGTTGGTCGCCATGAGACGACCTCACCCTCCATTAGGGCGTAGGCTAGTCCTGATTGACAGCCTGACCCGAACTGGGTCAAGGACAAGGAGATGGTCCAGCCAATGGAGTGTGAGATGTGGTGACTACCCGTGCGTGGACAGTGAGTGATTGTGGACTTTGTGTCGGCTGAGGACACTCCGACAACACAATGTCTGCCCGATGTTAACGATCACGCATATGTTAACTGTCACGCAGTGTATGAAGTCGTATGTTAACTGTCATCCGCAGTGTATGAACAGTATGTTAACTGTCACCCAGTGTGTGAAGAATCGGCTACAAGGCTAGTGATTTCCATAGGAGATGTTCTTCTGCTTCCGCTTTCGCTCCTCAGTCTGTGACGTGCTATGTTGCCGCGTGCTTCCGTAGAACTGAAGCCAGAATCGCTGCCAGGTCATGCTGTAGAAAACGGTCATTTTCGAAGGCTTTCGCTGGAACAACATAGCTCATACATATTCAGTGGTTGCGGAGTTGTGGCTGGGGTATGTCCTTCGTGAAAATCCAAAACCGTACTGCAATACAAATAAGTTACCGAGCAAAAAACATGCAGTTTTGAAATCATCTCGCTCCACGGTTTCTCCACTTCCGCAATTGCTGTATTGAGCATGTGTGCTTCAAGCGCATTAGTTACTGGAAACGTAGCATTCTGAGAAATACCTGACATGGCAAGGTATCATGGCTGTTCATGCATTGTTTTGTGGTGAGAATCGCAGATGAATGTGTTTGTAGTAGTGAAGTTGTGCAATTTCGTAGCAGTGATTAATTATTGTGCTTACAAATATGGAGAGGAAATGACTATTTTACATCGTTAGAGTACAACTGCCGCCGGAATATTAGTATCAATGTCTTCCTGTGAATTTCGTACTGGCCACTCGTTGGGCTTATCATTCCTACAGTGACAGCTTTAGTGAGCCTTTAGTAAGTCTATTCCTCCATCATCTTTAGTGAGCCTATACCCACGCATACTTTTGTTTTTATTACAAGTATCGCTAATGCCTACATTCTTGCACCACGTCATATCCAAGCACTACACCATTACATGATGTAACTGAGATGAAGCTCAACCATCACCCTCACTCCGCCAACCCCTGTCTGTCCAGTCCGGAGGTGAAGCTGCACCTCTAATATCCCGGAATGATGTCCTCGTGATGTGTACTTACGCGTCTATCTGTCCATCCGTGTCTGACGGCCGCGGCACGCAGATGCCGCCTGACGCGCGCCGCTCTGAGGTGCAGTGAGGTGTACTGATGTACGCTGACGTGTAATGGCGTGTACTGATGTATACGCTGACGTGTAATGACGTGTGAAGACGCGCTAAGGGGCGCCGGGCGCTGATGTGGAGAGCGGCGGTCCCGGGACGGAGAGAATGGCCGACTGACCGGGGTCACTGTTGTACTGAATGTGCAGTACTTTGTAGTAGCCATAAATACACAGCCAGGGGTACTGGAACGGGTGTTTTGATATGAAACGTGGCAGCTTGATAAGAAGGCAAGATGTAGACACCAGATGGTTACACCATGATGATGCATAGATACATAGATGATGCATATAATGATACATAGATACATAGATGATATATATGACGATACATAGATACCTACACCATAATGGCTATAATGACTGATGTCAAGTCGTTAAATGGTTATGATAAAACGCATCACTACTCTAGCGCTTTGAATCAATGACTTCAAGATCTCGAGAAAAGACAAAATGCCCCACTGTTGCTACGTAGGCTCATTAATTAACGCATTGTAATCTACGTAATTAATGATTGCAATACAACAGTAGACAGCTCGAGTATCAGATAAATGGGCAGATGTATGGACAAATGGCCAGGTGCATTGAATTTGAAGCGAACAAGGTAGCACACTTGGATGAACGCATGCCTGTCCAGCATTAATGGCAACATATTCGGGTGAAGATGTGTTATTTTGTCTACTTTAGTATATGACGGTAGATAACAGGATTCTAAGGGAACACCTACACAACACCTGGATTGACTGGCGCCGTATCGGGCGTTTGACGATGCAGACGAGACGCTGACGATGTAATACAACTGTGTATGAAGCACCGTCAAATACCCTACAGCGGTATAGGCGGCACCGTCTACATTTAGTTAAGCCGAGCCATAGACCTTCAAAAAAAAATCCAAAGCACTGACCGTGTCACCTTATCTCCAGACACATCCAAGCAGCTCGTGAATGAATGAAAGCGACTGAGTTTGCAAATTAATATGAGCTGCATGTAAGGAGAGACCCAATTCCAATGAAATTTATTGTCTATGTAGAAAGAAATATTCTTGTCAAATAAGGAGCATTCCTCAGTGTTCTATTGAGGCTCAGATGACGCACGTAGCCTCAATTCGTTACAATACAACTCATTTCTACAGCAGTTCATTAGGACAATCAAACGGCGTTGTGACTTCAAACCAAATAACGCGACTGAACAGCGCTGCCCAAAGGCTCGAGCATTCTGCACAGTCGTCTGGTAGTGGTCAAGAAGTTCAAACCCTGTGTTACATAAATTAACCCTCTATGCTTTTAAGTAAAGAACCTAAGCAACACTTCAGCTAAAATTTCGTCTTTTGCTATTTGACTCAGGCCATTATGGTTAATGCGCCAAGCTGACTGGGTGTGACTATGGCCTGTGCGCTAAAACACCCAATTTGGGGACCACTGCCAGGCCGCGCCGCAGTGGCGGCGGTGTCATTCCGTTTGACTGCTGCAGTGTGCAGGGCGTCGACCGGGCCATGTCCGTGCCGATTGGCTGGAAATGCAGTTTGTGTGTCAGCCGGCGCGCCGCGCTCTGTGCAGCGCAACGCGTCGGCCGGCCACGCATTAGGCTGAAAGGTTTTCGTGGCGCTCGTCAGCGCCGAGTGAGAAGTCATCGCCCCGGTTCGAGCCGCGGCGGCGTCGCTAACGATGTGCACAGAGGAGCGTCGTCGACCTTTCAGAGTAGAGGTGGCAAAATGTGGAACCAGTCTGGACCCATATGGGTCCAGACCGGTTCCTGAAAATTTTCTGACGGGTCCAACCGGGTCCTACCATAAACTATACATCTTGCACACTACACATTATTGCAAAATACGAAGTGAATGAAGTGAATGTGACTTTGCACACAGTAGCTCATGGGTATTCCCAGTGGGAAATAGGCTGTTTTACATGATGCAACTAATGATACCTACAAGTAGTTTGGATTAATTGACTTTTGGGGAACGGGTCCAACTGGTTCCGATTCCAACTAATACCGGGTCCGATTGGTTCCAGAAATGTCCAGCCGGGTCTGGTTCGAGTCTGGTTCCCAAAATTTTCACCTTTTGCCACCTCTATTTCAGAGGTGTGGACGTGCCATCGGACACAAAGGGCGGGTGACATGGGTGCAGGTGAAGTGGGGAGAGGGGACAACGGGGTGGGATGCACGCATCGCCAAAATTCGTCAACGTCCCGCGATGCGTCAACATTCCGCTACACAGAAGCTTGTGATGTGTTTTAATTTCTACAAACTCAGGCAGCTAGCTATTTATCGCATCGCCGTTACAATTGCATTCAGCCATTCCTCAGCTGGAAGTCGCTTCTCTGCTACCCTGTCCATACCATCATGTCTTCCCGAGCACCGAAGAGGCGCATTTCGGGGTCAGTACATCCACCGCCTCACATTTGATGGAATGACAGGTATCGTCGGAGCACTCCAACCATCATCCTATCGATATTTTTGGCAGCCAGCCGATGAGCGAGCGAGCGAGAGCTTTATGGCGAACACTCCGACAAACCACCGCGGACATTTTCTGATTTCCAGTTGCCATTCGTCTTTCTAGTTGACTGGGGAGCGCCGATCGGCTGAATTTACGGCACCAGCTATCCCGCAAGACGCGACCGGCGTCTCGGTGGCATTTATCAGAAAACGACGTCGCCACAGCGCAGCACGATATTCTACAAATCAAACTTGTCAGTTGGCCGCGTGCTGGCGGTAGGCACTCGATGTTTGTATGTTTGTGTGGGGCCTGACGAGTTTTGTGGTGTAAAGTGTGCTTAATTCTTGAGATTCTTTCACCGTCAAATGTTAGAAATTCACATAATAAAAGGTTGCGAGAAAACCACAGATATTATGCCACCTCTATCCTTGCCTTTATTCTCAGCATTCCGTCGAAGCAATAAATCTATATCGCGATTTTCAGTTCACAAAAGCTTTTCTCTGCAACGAAGATCAAAAGAGTGACGGAAAATCTTGAGCTTGCTTATAACTGCTTGCATCTGAGCATGTGCCTTTTTAGGAACAAATTTTTTACGGTTAAATCTTCTGGTTCTTTCTGGACTAAATAAATGGTTATCATCAAACAAATAATCAGTTAATTTGTTTCCGTTCGATACAAAGGGAGCAATATAAATGTTGATTTAATCGTGACCGAATCGGTAAGTGGCACATAATGAAAGAGACAGGGGCCTACGGTGGACGCGCATGCCCTATATCGTAGCATCTTGCATTTCTTCATCCACATATCACAGATCGATCACATAACCCGTGATCGATTGGCTTGGCGTTGGACTGTCGGTATTAAAACCTCTGGTCAAGTGACTTCTTTAAAGAAATACTTATACTAACTTTCATTTATTTGCATACTCGTATATAATAGCAGTTTTCACGACGGACTATCTGATAAATGTACCTAATTTGACCATATTTGCACCAAATCTCTAAAACAACAAATATCTTCATATCCTGAATTATCTATGCTTGAATTTATCTCAGCGTTTTTATCTAAAAGGTCTGATAATTTGAGAAAAAATGAATTGTGTAAGCATTTGTGCCCCAAAACGGACAACTTTTAGGAAGGACAATGAACCTGATTTGACCTAATCTGCACCAAATCTGCACCTAATCTACACCAAATGTGTACCACATGGGTGAAAACAAACAGCTAAAATATACTCAATGTATACAACAGCTATGACAAAAGAATGCATTTACACCGCAAAGAAAAGTGCTGAAAGCTTCGTCAAAGCGCCATTCCGGGTAGTAGATCTGAAGACAAGAAATTACAATGGTAGCCAACAGACGATAGGGCGCCTCTTTACTGAACCGCATCAACAGTTCCTTAGGGCGCTGTTTTTTTTGGGGGGGGGGGAGAGGGGTAACCTACCACACAATTAGAACGGGATACATCGTCCGCCGAAGTTGAACGTTAGGGGCGGGCAGTTGACCGGTCCCCCCGCCGAGCGACAGCAGCGCTGACCACAGGCAGTGAATCCAGGAGCGCAGCTGGGCGAAACCACACTGGTCGGGATGAAATCAGGGCTGCTGTTGTTAGGATCCGTTGAAACATCAGGAACCAGGCGGTCACCGTACGGGAAGCGTGGTATTTGTCCACGGTGGAACGTCGCTCGGGCCGGGAACCTCGGAGCGTTCGGCGTTGTCTGCACCACCGTCACCAGCACCAGCGCTGGCGCCATCACCAGCAGGAGAGGCAGCTGAGTCATCTGAGGCAGAAGCGTCCACGAGCGCGCTGAAGGTAGGTCCGTGAACTGTTCATAATATACTCACCATGTTAACCTATAGCATTTTCGACAATTTGAAGTACAAATGCAGTAAAAAAAGGTAAAATAAAAGACAAAATACAAATTTAAAATTGAAAATAACTGTGGAAAATTACGTTAAAGATGACAACCATAGAGATCAGTAAAAATGCATTCAGTACAAGCGTCTAGCAAGACATAAACGAGCTGACTTTTATGTTTTTTTTTTTTGCATTATGCATTTTGGTGCAATTTGTTTGATGTTAATAAAACTAGAACATTATAAATAATTTATCATTTTATAAATGATTATATCATAATCATTCATGAAAGACCCATCGAGGAAATTAATTGACTATCCCTATGATCATCGAAGTCTGACGTGGCGCTGCCAGGAAGTGACGTCACCTAATTTCGTTTTTGATAATGCACTCAATGCGACAAGCAACACGTTTTTGTGTTGTTTTACACATTCCCGCTCCGGCGCAGATTCCACTTGTATCGGTGTGACGGTAATTATTACCAATGCTCCTCCTCACCTGCTCGTGGTGGTCCGCGCGTAGTGGTCCGTGGTCCCGTCAGCGTTGTTCCACTCCTGGTCCACACGGTCCCACCTCAGAAGGCGCACTGGTCCATGCGCAATGGTAGAGGTCCAACTGGGGAATCCATACGATCGCTCGGGCAGGCATTGGCTAGGGTACATTTATGGCACTGTATTCCTGTAACTGGTTGGATTTTCCGATAATTAACTTAACGATGGAACCGGTTTTTACAGACGGCAACTGGCCAGGATATACATTGGCGCAGCAGTAAGTAACACCTGGTCACGGCAGTCAACATCGGATATACCGAGGGGCCCAGCTCAATGGCATGTCGCGAGCAGTCGGTGCGGTAGGAAATACCTTAAAATACAGTACAATAAAACAGTGGCTTAAAATA